ACATCCCCCCCCCCCCCCAAACCATTTAAAGCAAAGGACAACTTTAGGATGAAGACTACACAAAGATTCTGCAACCAATATTTTGTACTATTATAGTAAGGATATATAACTAAACGTTCATGACTGTCAAACAAAAAGGGAGATTTTCTCATTGCTAGAAAAATTATAATTAATTTCACTGAACACAGCCATAATATATTTTTGGGGGACATGTGGAAACTAAACAGCCTACAGTCATGCAGGGAGACACCTGTTTTAACTTGAGGTATATGTCATTAACTGCATGATGTGAATAAGATATCTAGATAGATGCTAAAACTGAAATATTTGTATAAGTACATTGAGGTAGAAAAGTGAAATTAGTACATGTACTTTGTAACTGCCTTTAGTGAGAGTATTATACAGATTAGTACATGGTTTTATTTTGCCCGAGACAACAAAAAGATGGATGGTTTAAGCTATACGCATTTTCGCACTCTGTAAGCAAACCTGGTTTTAGTAACGCATGTTTCAATAGTTTCATCAATGACACAGATGGATTGCAATGCATTTAACATATAGGTAACTTTATGCATAAAAATAGCAATTGGCAAAAGTCTTGCAAGCATTATTAAACACAAAACAAAAGGTTTGCAGTCAATACATCTAATACTGTGGGAAAAGATAATAGCATGAACATTTGGTACAAATAAACTAGAATATATATATTGGCTCAGACGATTATTCTTGTCATTCCACTCAAAAACGTAGTGTGAATGTAGGAAATTGTTTTCGTCAACTAACAAGAGGATGATCAATCGTCAATTAATCTTTTTATTAATACGCTATGTGCGAATCTAATGAAGGAAATGTAATGACTGTTGCAGTATTCCAAAACAATGTTTTCTCCCTTTCACATTAACAAAACGAGCAATTGAAAAGAACTTTTTTCTGAGCCAATCTTTCAGTAAAAGGGGATTAAACAGAGCAAGGGGATGCAAATTTTAACAGCATTCACAATATCACCAACAACTAAAAGAAAATAGGAAACATCATAAGCAAACATGACAGTGCATTTGGTAAAATAAAGTACATTCAAAAAAACACCATAGCAACCACAGAACCAAATAGGGTAATATGTAAGATGACAAAATGTTAGCAAACACGACGAATGCAATAATAATATAACAATAATATAAAACATTTGTGGTTGATAACATCCTGTCAGTTTTAGAAAAAAGATAATTTTTCTTCATAGCATCAGAACTCTCTGAAGCCAGATCAAATTTAAATTGTAGGTAATGACCGTCAATTTGAATTTTCAGTCAGATTTAAAGCATATTGAATTATAAAATTTGGTGCAGTTGATGCAAAATTGTCAATTTTAATAAACTTGATTATCCAAAGCTGACCGACCAAATTGAATAACATGGGGTGGGGTTTGGGTCCTAATACGTTGTACTGTCAGACAGACGCTTTACCTGATCGACTGCCTTCTTGACACTTTCAGCATTATTCGCAGTCACTAAGGCATGTAATGGTTCATCCTCTCCGGGCAATGGTTGTCCATCCTTGCGTCCAATCTTGCCTTCCTTCACAGAACCTTTTCCACGAATCATGATTTTGGCCCCTGTTTCTTTTTCCATTTTTTTTAAAGTGTTTCCTCTGTTTAAAATACAAAGTTAGTCATTTTAACAAATAGTGCACAGAATTATGCGAGTCAAAAATTGATTTCAGAGATATTTAGTAGACTAGTAGATTAATTTTTTGACAGTCGTCCTTTTTTTGATATTTTCAAGAACAAAAATTTACTCATAGCCACATTTGTCAAACTTTTAGGATTGAAATTTGGTGGTCTACTAGTAAGAATACTGAAGTTTAACAGTATTGATCTTGAAATTTCCTACAATCATTTGAATAACAATCTACGGATTCATTGCTTCAAGGAAAGTTTGCAGAAAGGCATTAGATTTATCACTCACACAAGACTTACCTAGGGCCTATTAGAAGGCCGACAAAATTAATGTCTGGATGCTTATCTTGAGGTATTGTTACCCTGTCACTAACCCTCTGAACAGGAGGTCTGTTAAAATAACATACAAATTCATTCATATAAACATATTTTAGCTATCTTCTGCGTTAAACTATTTTGCAATTGTAAATTAAATGATTTGCTATCAATATCTGTCACATAACCAACTTACTTATAATCAGCAGGTGGCTTGTATTCTGGGTTTAACACAAGCGCCTCTTGGATCAGTTTATGACGCTCTTCTTCAATCTTTTTACGTGTACGATACTCTCTGGTATTCAACCGCTTACCTTCGCTGTTATAAATAGGTTCTGGAGAAGGGGATCTGTTAATAAAATAGAAATGCACAGATTACGTTATTAATCAAGTTAACTATGTCTATACCAACCTATTTAGGGTCTTTATTACTGATTCTTGGCACACTCAAAGACAGAAATATCTTTTGACAGACCGAGACATACAAACAAGGCAGAGTTTTATTTGTAATCATATTGGAATACAATGTCTCTGAAATCAAAGCAGTGTAATTGCTAAGGTTTTGATCACACTGTATAAAAATAAAATCAACAGCCCTTTAATGTAAATTATGAAATCATGGCATCGATAATATTGTTTGCTGGGGGTTGAAGAGGAGGGGTCATAGTTTTTTATGCCTAAATCATTGGTTGTTGTTGGGAGGAAAGATGGGGGTCGAAGATGAGATTTTATGTTCAGGCTAATATAACATAAAATATAAATATATACAAAGAATTAGATGAGAACATATAACCATATTAAACAGATTTTAACAGATCGAGTTTTCTCACAACAAAAAAGAAATGGCAGGGACGAGTTCTACAGTTTCATCGAAATGTGGTACAAGTACATACATTGAGCATATCGGGGGTAAGTTAAATATTTTGAAAAATGTCATTGGTGGGCTTCAAACAGATGCAATTAATTTAACACAAGTAATCCCAGTATATTAATATCTAATCTTCATATTCATTTTGCTGAAAGAACATTTTAAAGAACCTCTATTGTTCCAGCATTTTACTGGCCAAATATCGTTCCTCCGAAGCCTTAGTCCAAATTTCTCAGCAAAGAAACATTTCTTTTAATTTTAGTGTTCAAATACAAGGCATATTTGAGATCTCACACCAAATCAGCTTAGGGGAAACACAGAAGAGATTGATAAAAACATGCTTAATAGGCATGGGAATACACTACATACATGCAACACCTGCAACTAATGCAGCATATTTAACCTATCATATCAGTAAAATAATAAAGATGACAACGTTCTAGCTGCAGACTAAAATTAGCATGAATATTTTAAAATTTATGCTTCTGTCATCAAAATGTTCAGGCAAGATCGGTGAATCTAAATGACCAGGACAATTGCTGGCTCTTGTATCAAATTTAATACATTTAAGATTACTGTATCAAGCTAAATAATTATCTCAGTTTTATTTTTGTTTATCAAAGAGCTGAATTAAAACTCAAGTAATATGCAAAGTTAAGCATAGAATGAAAATTCAACAGCGAATATTTCTACTTTCACACACATATAGTTGACAACTGTCATTGTGAACAGGGGGGTGGGTGTCAATTTGGAAGTAGGAAGAAACTTTTTTAATAACACGACGATTGCATTAACTGAGAAAGAATTAGTGTGGCAATATTATCAACATGAAGTGGTAAGGAACAGTTAAATATATTAAAACTACTGTCACCACTAAAAGAAACTCACCAAAGAATGTCTAATGTTAGGTTATTTACAATAATAATAATAATAATAAGTACAGTGATAACAATCAGAGGATGACGAGACAAACATTACATGCAGGACAAAAGCAGAAAATAAGTGTTGGAATTAAAGAAGGTGGTCACCATATCGTTAATTTGAAGATTTTGAACCGGAAATGTGTTGCAGTAAATTCAAATCTGCTGCATCAATAGAAGAATTAAGTCTCCTCACCAAGTTTGAAAGCACCCAGTTTCAATGATGAAACTCAAAGCAAATGACCTCCAGAAATATTTGAGCTATTGCATTACTACATGTAGCTACATCTGATTAATTACAAATGTTAATGTCATTCTACGACAAAAAGATTCATCATCCAATCAGACAGTGCCAAATAAAAACAAAACTACCGTACATGTAGTTGGTCTTGAATTATAACAAGGAAAGTGGGGTTGTAACCATCAGATGTGTCTACCCAATGAATCTCAAGCAGCTTTTGACTGCTTTATTTATTTCAGTTCTAGAATTTAACAGAAAGACTATAAAACTGATTTCCAAGTGCACATGTCCCTACATCTCTATACATGCATTTCAAATAAAAGATATGGTACAAGTGATGTTGGCCAGAAAAAGAATTTTGCACAAAGGACATAAAAAAGAAAGAAAGATTTGTTTCACATCAGTAATGAATCAAATTAATGGCATCATTACAACATTTTACATCATTCAGTCATAACTTGTGGTATTATATGATGGCCATGTGAGGTAATTTGCACATTTCTACAAATAGGACTAAACATAACTCTTGTGGTCTTATCTAGTAAAGCCAAGAGTACAGGGATCTGAAAGTTTCTAAAAAAATAAAATTAAAATAAAATACCGGGGTATTGTAGGTACAATTTTTTTTAATCTCTCCCTGAATGGAAACAAATCTTTTTTTTCATCTGATGGACTAACGTGTGACACAACTGTGCCTATTGTATTGCATCAAAAGGGATTTTCTGATGAATAGTAGACCATTAGAAGTCAGGCACAGTGAAATATGCAGTATTTGGGTTGCAAAGAACGATTTGGGAAAACAATAGAAAAGACACATCTTGCGGTGTTAAATGGTAATGAGATTGGCTTGGGATCAGCAGGATTGATTAAATTCTGTCAACTTAGGGAAACTAATATGCAAATAAAATACCTACTATTAAATACATTATAAACTAGAAAAAAAAACACATTTAAGTCCTTTTTACAGACAAAATTTCCTAAAGGAACAATTAAAATTCACAAATATTTTGCAATTCAATTGATTTACATTGTTTCCAACAAAGTAATTTGCATATTAGTGCCCCCTAATAGCCTCATGAGAATAACCAATTTGGCTTCCTGCTAAATTCAAGTCTTGGATGAGTGCTTGAGATCACACATGACAAACAAAGCTAGATGGAAAGAAACTTTAAATATTTAAAGGTTGCATATCTGGAACAACAAGTCTTGTATAGTATTCAAAAAGCTACTATGACAAACGTTGCAAAAAATGAGATTAAAAATATAAAATGCAGTGATATTCATAGACTAGGTAGGACAAACAAAGACAACTTGCTCAACCAGAGAAAAGATTTCATCAGATTTTACATTTTCCCCCCCCAATAATTGCTACAATGCTAAAAAGTTCCTATCACACGCAAGTAATTTCCATCATATGTATCAGGTGAATTAAATGAACATTTCAAATGGAAAGGATGTGCTAAATTTTTGGTTTAACGGTGTATTTAAAATATAGAGGATGTTCAAAATAAAAGTCATGGGAAGGGTACTAATCACAGCCAGCTAGAATCAAATGAAAACATCTGGTTGTTAAATCTGATAAAACCTGTTCATTAACGCATGCACAAACCAAGCCAGCTAATAATAATAAAAAGGATCAGATTCCAACGCTTGTTAAGTTTTTTTTAAAAAAAGTATATTTTCTTGAATCATGAAAATATTTGATTTGAAAAATTTGGAATAGCCCCCTGCTGATACACAATTTTAGGCAGAAGGCAGATCAAAACTGAATTTTTTGAATTTAGGGTCACTGGTACTATGTATGAAAGCAACAATTTATGCTGTCAAAACAGAAATGGTTAGGTAGTAAAATAAAAATAAGGTTATTATCAGGCAGCAATGAATACGCACCATCTGAAAACCAAGATATGGTTACAAATCTGGTCTGAAATAATGAAAGTCAATTAAGGCCTTGGAGAGAAACTGGTTAATAATTTTGCGTCAAATGCAATCGTTAACTTCAAAGCTCTTATAGAAGCCCGAATCGACTAACCAATTAAAATAGATTCTCCTCGACAGAGAACGTGAGGGCATGATTCGGGATACCCGTCATAGTAGTAATGCTAAGAACAAAGATGGGTTACGGTTGATGACCGGTTGAAAGTTTATGTGTGTCAGTTACCTAGGTTTCAACCTAGATATCCCATAATTATCACAGTTAGCAAAATAAATATATAAAGAGAGAAAAAAACAATACAGTTTGGTTAGACAAACCTATCCTCTGGATTAGGTGGAATACCCAGATCACCTGTCCGCAGTCGGCGACTTTGCTCGTCTATTTGCAAGTGCACTGTAACAGAATGGGTTAAGAATGAGGAGAAAACAAGTGTCAACAATATGATATGAATAATATAATCACAGCAATTTATAATAATTAAACAGTTATAATTATTTTCATGAATAAATATGGAATTCTCAAGGAAACAAAAGCTAAATGCAAACAATATTTTTTTATTTAACATTTTCATGAAATAAACGTTAGCTGTACAATAAGATTCAACAAAAATAAATTTGTAACTAACAGCTAATTTACATAATATATCATCTGAACTATTCCTAATTTTTTAGCCAGATAAAAACTAAAAATAAAGTGCATGATGATTGTACGATTATAAAAAATCTTTTAATTTAAAGGAGAACTGGCAAAAAGATTCCAAAATTAACTTTTTAATTTGACAAATACAAAATATACATTCATCCAAATGCTTGACATCAATGAACTATAAAATAAATTTTGTCCTATAATTCAAGCACCAACCACTGAGAGTGATAAGGAAATCAGAATATTCAACATTATTAGTTTTCTTATTCCTCAGTTCTCTGCTAATGATGAACAGTGTTTTTAAGTTAGTGTATTCACTCAAACAATGCTATAAAGCACTATTTCCCACAATTAAACGCTGCAAATCAATGTTTTTTTTATTTAAATGAACTTGAAAAACCTAAATTGCAACGCTATATCACATGTTATTATACGCAAGTAAAGAGTATACAACACAAATATTTTGGAAAAGCAAATATTATAAACTCGTGGTTATATACATGTTATTCATAGCTATGCGACATGTGTATATGATTCTGGTATCCACCTGTAATCCCACGGTATGGGAGAGGACTATCTATTATCATCTAGCACATATTTATAAAAACACAATTAACACAACGGGAGTCAAATTTATTTGGCAATAAACATGAATAATTTGAAATCAATGATAATTTTAGATGAAACTTCTGAAAAAAGAAGACATATTTCAGATTGCTTTATAAGAATACATGCATCAATTTTCAATTCTTAGGCAACTGTTTTCTTGTTAACCCAACATGTTCAAAGTATTGACAAAATGAACATTACTGTGAAGAAATACTTACAAAGAAACTGTTTTTCTTGATCTGCAGTTAAATTTGGTGGCAGAACAATAGAAACACTTGCAACTGGTGTTGTTTCTGCAGAGACCTGTGGTTCCCATCGACTCCTTTTCTTCTTTTTCGTGGCTGAGAAAGATAACAGGATTTACTTTAAGTAATTTTAATAAATCTACATTTTTAAGCATTGATTACAGTTAAAGCATTGATGGGTAATACAACAATGTTTTTCTTGCCCAATTACTAAGATGCGAACAGGGAAAAGATAACATTAGGTAATAAAAGATAGTGTCAGGCATTGGGCAATGAATTGAGGGTAATACTACAATGCACAGCAAATACACTAACTGTGCACATGATATTATTCTGTCAACTGAGTTTTCCACAAAATGACCTAAAAAAAAATCTAAAAAGCATTATTAGAATAGCTTACAATTAGGTTTATATGGCAGAAACATTCCATTATATCTAAAAATTTTGTTCCGTGAGCTACAATGTGTGCTAAAAAATGATGCGTGGTGTTATTAGGGCCAAATATGACTGTCGAGAAAAATGGGGAGAATTTTGAAGATTAGTTAACCATGGAAAATTTTCCAAAATGATCGCTTTTTAGATTAATTTGCACACGTTTTCTTGGAAACGCATTCTTGCTCCGTCAAAATTTTAAATATGAATGGCATGCATCTATGTGAATAATTGCACAACAATTTTTGAATGATTTACTATGATCAAACTTTGTCATGTTTAATGGCTTTGAACTATCTTATATTGCATTAATTAGCTTATTTTTAATGTGACTATATAAACAGTCAAAATAAACATTTGCAGCCATGACAATTATCATACTTTGATGTTAACAAAGTCATTGTTTTTTCTATGGTTAGTGATTCCATGATTTAACCATGGAGCTAAAATCTATTTTAACCTCCATGATTTAACCAAGGAGCTAAACAATAACCAAGCATTCCATGCATTTTAACATTGGGCTAAATTAATTAAATTCACAACTGCCAAACAATCAGCCCTGTCAAATTGATAATAATAGTAATAGTAGAATAAGTAATTGGTCAAGGACAGATCAATGGTAGCAGACCATAGCGGTGATATATTGCTTTGCATTCATTTTATACTTGTCTAGAAACTAAGCGGCTAAGTTAAATTTCCTGAAGGGCTAAAACTATTAAAGAAACCTATACTGTAATAAAGTACCTGTCAAGCACAAAAGTATTCCATTTTTTATGTGTGATAAAATATATTAGTTTGCCTCAATGCATACTTTAAAAATGTTTTTTTTTTCTATAATCTCAAGAATTCTTCTCTCCCATTCAACTTTAGTTTTGGGGCTTCCGCTTATGGATTGAACAGCATTTATGAACGCAGTAATTTATTAAAAGCTCAATCATGGGAGTACTAGGAAACTGAAATGTATTATTTTACTTTATTTACAGAATTGAGAAATTTGAGCAGTTAATGTAATAGCCTGAAAACACAGAACTGCAGAATCATGTTAAAACCACATGAAAGTGTGCAAAGACTAGATTCATGCTTCAAACACCAACTGCATTAAGTTTCTTCATATTTCATTAAGATTTTCATTAAGTCAGACATCAAAAGCACAAAAAACATTTAACATCAATTTCATAATTTTTTGTTTTTTTTTGCTTGTTGGGGGAAAAAATCATGAAAACATTTTGAATAAATAAATAATAACATGATGACCGGATATAATTTGTGAGATTATTTTTAGCACTACAAAATATTAAATCGTTGGGTTAAAAAAAAAACAGCAAAATAAAATCTAAAAATTTGTGCACAAGAATTACTGTGCACAGAACTGAGATGAGACATTTTACAGTCATGAAAATCTAATAAACAATTTGAAATTAAGTTATAATGTAGTCACAATTGACGATTTACGTTCTCTTACGTTTTTTTTTATTTTATATATTCTATTACGTTTCTTTAATTCTGATAGAAATATTCACTTTTCAATTCACTTCACGTCCGTGTGCACGTACAAGACTGACTAGATTCACAGAAAAAGCCCCAAGCTGCTTTTGTCCTCGCAACGTGACTTCAATTTATTGAACTAAGATCACAACACATTTATAGCGATTTTAAATTCACTAATCATACCCTGAATAAGAGGGGCAATTAATTTATGCAAACTTACGTCCTGCTCCCCCTACAAGTGGGTGGTCGGCAGCAGAGGTCGAGGCAGAGAAACCTCGTCGTTTTTCAGCTATTCTCATAGCCGCTTCCCTGGCTGCATTCAGCATGGACTCGTTCGACATTCTTCCGCCGGAGGAAATTGCAGGATTTGGTTTCCCAAGCGGCACGCTATTGGCCCCAGTTGCTGACATCGACGGCATATTGCCAAAATTCATTAATACATGCGACCAGTCTCTAGTATATGATGTGAATTTCGCTCTATAAAGGTAACTTTTTCTACGTGTACAAATCGCAAATCAATCCAATATGGAGGAAAGACGTCCTCAAACGTCAAAGCACCTTTATCTTTGTTTAGTTTAGTTTTGATTAGTATGGCTGTATTGTGTATTCTTGAAAAATATACCCCAAAAATACTAGTTTTCTAGCGATATTTAAATTCTTTGATGTGACCAAATAGGTAAAGTATGTAAAATATATATTCGTATTTTCTGAACTGAAATCGGAAATGAAATTGCGTGAACGAATATAACCGAACATAGGGGGTCACCATGCTAGGCAATGCGCATGCTCTATTTTGTAACTACAAGGGTACTTTGTAAATGGTAAGTTCCAAACGTGTTGATGTGGTCATTGCCTCATGATATGGTGGTCAAGGCGCGAATGGGTTTTCAGTGTATATTACGATGCTGTTTAGTGCTGCCCAGTATGATACGTGTGATGTTTCAAGTTGAAGTCCATCAATTGTTAATTTGGCATCTTTGATCACAATGACAACGTGTTCAGGACTGTTCGAGGTTTCCCAATGCGTAGCCATATACACACAGTGCGTAGGTGGTTGGAGAATGCTGTTTTTTATTTGACAAAAAAATAAAAATAACTATTTTTAACTATTTATTTTAGCGAAAATGAAACAATATATATCTTAAAATAGATTACAACGTAACTAAGCTACAGTTATGAAAAAAGTATTTATTCATCAAATAAAAACAAACTATATCTAACAACATGTGCCCCTGGTATGAGTGCGAAGTGCAAAAAGATGGAATCCCCATAAACAGTTCTGAACTCTGAGCAAAGTCCTGTGAATAACTAGCCTCCATAAACCTGACCAGTTGCACAAGTTTAATCTTGTAAAGAAGGATGGCAACAAACAATGCTGTACTCTGGCTGGGTCATTTTATTTTTGCCATATGTAAAATGGTTTTGTGCTTGAGCAACTACAGAAATCATTGTTTTATAGACAATTTGTGGAAAAGTTGTTTTGATGAAAAATATTTTACACAGTAAAACTTGCGAAAATCACTGTATAAATGATACTTGGCGAGAACACCACTCATATTTTTTAAATATGTGCTATTGACAATTATAACTTCATCAAATACATTCATCAATATATATATATATATATATATATATATATATATATATATATATATATATATATATATATATTGATATATATATATATATATATATTGATATAAAAATATAACAGTGTGGTTTATAAAATATTAATTTTATTTTACCAAATTACAAATTCCATATCTAAAGTACAATGTTATTCAAGATCATAATAGCAATGTTTGATTTCTTGTTGTGTCAATGTCGCGCCAGATAACTTATAGCATAAACCTTAGAGAACTAAGGTTTCTAAGGTCTATGCTTATAGCACAACGAGTTGCATCACAGCCAATCTGTGTATATGGGTGACGTGTCCTTCTGTCATACTGATATATACATGATGTAATTAATGCATTGCATACTTTTTCCACTTGCCTTTTCTGTTACAGCTGGAATGGCAGCATTAAATAAGTTAACAAAACCGAGGAGAAAAAAACGAATACACCAACCAGAATCCAGTCCATTTCCTGTCCCTATAGAATCAATTGATGGTAAGCCAGCTAGCGATGACCATTGGTATTACTATACAGGGAACTTGGTTGATAACTGTGTGTTAGTTACCAATCCTGGTGATATCGCATTTATTTATAAAATGGTAAGTTTTCATTCAAAATGCACATGGCTTGGATTTTTATATTGTTAGTACATCTGATGGTGTTGCCTTCTGTAACCAGGTTAGTGATATGGAAAAACAAATGATCATCTCTATACCTCAGGTCGAACAATACAGTTTGACAAATGTCGGTGGTTTCAAAGTGGACATGCAGAAGTTCTCAC